AGCTCCTGCCACAGCTGACCCCCACCCAGGAATGCTAGGAATGTCCTCCCTCACCTTCCCTGCCCCCCACTCGCCCGGCTAGCCCACCTCCCCAAATCCTGTTCAGTCATCTGGGCTCCAGCCCCAGCGCCTGGAGAATACTCCCCTACAGATTTCACTGCGGTCCACATTCTGCTTTCTCTAAACATCTGTGACATGTTGTGCTAGCCCGTTCTTATACTCGGAAGTTTGTTCTTGTAGCTGGACGAGTGGAATAAACAATCGTGTGGTTCTTGCACAGAAGGGTCATAAATCCTCATACCCCCTCTTCTCCTAATGGAAAGTCTCTGAGATGCCTCCCCAGGACAGGGATGGGACCTAACACACTGCAGCAGCATTTCAAAGCTTCTGCAGTGCTTCCTATAGCGCCTCCGTGATTAGATGGTCCTGACTGAGCCTGGGTGTCTTAAGCAGGGACCAGGGGCCCAGAGGGCAGAGGGGAGAGAGTGGGGCACTGGGGTGGGAGGGGCGGATAACACTGGACACCATTCAGTACATTGATGTAAGGCTCCAACTGCTTAACATAAAATTATACCGTGTTAGCATGGAATGGATTGTGCCGTATTCAGAAAACATACGGACTCCTGAGTATTGAAATAGATCACACGATTTTAAAAAGTAATGGTTATTTTTGGAAGAATGTGTGTGTGTGTGTGTGTGTGTGTGTGTGTGTGTGTCTGCACGTGCACATTTGCAATGGATTCCAGAGTTATCTGTGGGATAATCAGCAAAGCCCTCCTTCTGCAGCTTACGCTGCTTCAAAGCCCCTGCTGGATCCCATTCAGTCAAAACACTCATTGAGCACCTACTCTGTGCCAAGGAGTGTTCTACGTAAGTCAATCAGTTCCCGCCATCCGGGAGGTGACAGCCTTCCAGGAAGTGAGAGAAGATGAGGCTAGGGAGCACGGGGTGTGGGGCGGGGGGTGGGGCTGATACCTCCAGCTTAGATGAATAAGATGATTGCAACATTGCTGTGGAAGCTAATTATAGAAAAATTCATCTCTCCTGGGTTAGAAACAATTTCCTATAACTATTTTGTTGAGAAATCTAATCTCATGAGGATTTTTTTGTGCGTCCCTTTCCTGACTTGTTTTTGTGGGGGGTGTGTGTGTGTGTGTGTTCAACTGTCACTGGGATTATCATACACAGAGCCTGCTCAGGAGAAACTTGGTATCCCCCGAGTCCCATGTCACCGAGTCCCATGTCACTTTTGCTCTTTCTCAAACCCTTTTAGTGCCCAGACGCCCCTGCACAGCCCTCCTACCCACAACACACGCACACACACACACAGGCTCATACACTCACACCCTTTGTGGTAGGAGGTCCCCAAAATGCCATGACCTGCTGACCAGGCACCTTCCATCACATTACATGACTGTGGGGAGAATGGACACCGAGAGGCGGTTTCTCTGTCCTAAGACATTTTATGGCAAAGAGCAGCCTCCTGGGGGGTTCTGGGATCTGTTCTCATTCCCATTCCTGCCTTTCCATCAAAATCACCTATGAACGTAATAATCCTTAGGACTCACTTGAAAAAGTACATGGGAAGTCAAGGTTTTTTTAAATTTCCTTTTTCTAAAGGTTAAAATGAAAACAGGGAAGAACAGAGCATTACTCTCCTGGGCCCAGGAGGGATGGGGCCTGGGTGTCCCAGGCCCGGTCAGGTTGTCTGTATGTGGTTCCCTCGCCACAGCGCTCCACGATTTATCCGGTGTATCCGTGCCCACCTTTCTCAACCACATGGTCAAGTCAATCCGGAAGTGATGCCAGGTGCCCTCCTCACTCGGCAGGCTTCTCTCCCCACCCCACCCCCCACCAGCTTCTGGTACTCCAGCCATTCCCTCTTCTGAAAATGCTCTGTGTCTCCCCATCTCCTGGTGTCACTCACCTTTGTCCCCTTACCTGCGAGGGGGAGCCTTTCCCGTCAACCCTCCACCAGCTGCATGGGTCCCACCCCTTCTCGAAAGCATTGCTAAAATTCCATCTCCTGTAGCCCGCCCTAAGCACCTAAGCCAGGAATGCTCGCTTCTCAGCCAGGAAAGGAATCACTGTCCTCCTGTGGTACTGCTCTCAATTCATGTATTTGACAAATAACTGTTGAACACCCAGCATGCCCCCACACAAACACTGCTCGGTATGAGAGAGACAGCGATGACCGAACCCAGAGAACAAGCTTTCGGTCCTGTGGTTGGTTGGTTCCCAGACTAGTTGTGGGGTCTTTCTTTCCTTCGTTTTTAATTTTTTTTTTTTAATGTTTATTTATTCTTGAGACAGAGCATGAGCAGGGGAGGGGCAGAGAGGGAGACACAGAATCCAAAGCAGGCTCCAGGCACTGAGCTATCAGCACAGAGCCCAACTCAGGGCTCGAACTCACAAGCCATGAGATCATGCCCTGAGCTGAAGTCTGATGCTTAACAGACTGAGCCTCCAAGGCGCCCGGTTGTGGGTTCTTTCTAGGGCAAAACTGGGTTTAATGGTTCCTTCTATCCTCGTGGGTTCTTTCTAGGCAGGACTGGGTCTAACGGTTCCTTCTATCTTCCAGAATCCAGTCAGAATTCAATTGAATGTACTGAACTGATTAATGAATTCATTCATTCTTTTGGACCGTGCCGTACAGAGTTGGGATCGACACTGTAAATAACCCCCCTAAATATCTGAGGCCGAATGTGGAAAGAAGAGGCATACATTCCATTCTTATTAAAAACATCGAGTATGGGGCGCATGGGTGGCGCAGTCGGTTGAGCGTCCGACTTCAGCCAGGTCACGATCTCGCGGTCCGTGAGTTCGAGCCCCGCGTCGGGCTCTGGGCTGACGGCTCAGAGCCTGGAGCCTGTTTCCGATTCTGTGTCTCCCTCTCTCTCTGCCCCTCCCCCGTTCATGCTCTGTCTCTCTCTGTCCCAAAAATAAATAAACGTTGAAAAAAAATTAAAAAAAAAACAAAAAACAAAAAACATCGAGCGGTTGTTTTCTGTATCGAACGTGGAATTCTGGTTTTATCAAACACGTCTCGGAGAAACACCCCAGCCCCCAAAGCAGACAGCAGTTGTAAACATCTCCTCTTCCCGCTGAAGCTTCCGTGGAACGGAAGCTAAGCCCCGAGGGTCTTTGTGTGTTTAGACCCGCTGCGTGATGCCTGGTGCCCGACCGGGAGTTAGCTCAACCCACAAACCACCAGCAAAGGGGCTGAAAAAAGACAGGACCCAGGGGTTGGGAACACAGTTGCTCAATGGCCCAGAATCTGGATCTTGGAAGCCAAATTACGGTCAGCCGCATTGTTTAATTATTGACCTTGTTCTCTGGCACACAGGGTCTTATGTGTAGACTCTATCTTTTGCTTTTTGTAACCAGTCTCCTCCATCCCAGCAACACAGTTTATTCCAGAGCATGGCAAATGGCACGTATACTGGCTTTTTTTTTTTTTTTTTTTGGCTTAAAACATGGTCAAGACTCTTGATGATGTAAGAGAACAACAAATGAAATCAGCTATTTCCTTCCTGATTACTACACTGCTTTAAAGGAATGCTGAGGTTTTGTTTGCAAAAAGATACATTGATGATTATGCAACCAGTGAGATCTCCATTTCTACCTTATTTTGTTTAGCGCAGACTCGGTTAAACTTCTCAGCCCTCATATAACCTTCTCTAATCTTGGTGGCTTACTTGACAATCTGGTGAACTTTTATCACATCCTGAGGCTGGATGTGCATTTTAAGGTATTGGGGAATGATGAGTTTTGTTCTGAGGTGAAGGAGGCAACATGGCAGAGGTCTTCCGTCTTAAATTAGCACAGATCATAGGCTTCTGGGAGGACCATGACGTCAGGTGACCGCAGTGATGGGGCAATAGCAGCCCAGGAATCACAGGACAGCTGGGGAGGACATGGCACACTTCTCCTCAATCCAGCTGAGACTGTTAATGCCCACACTGGGGAAGAGTTGCATCCCCCTTCTGTAGCACTGAGCTGGGCAGGCCAATGGGTTTCTGGAGTAGCTTCTGTTTGCATGGCTGTGTAATAAGAGGCGGTCTTAGCTAGGTCTGCTCTTACACTGTGTGACGGACCATTATCTGGGCCCTGCTAACTGATCACACACTGGATTGACTAAAGCACAGTCTTGTGGTTTATTTTGATCAAGTCCATGGGCTTTGGGGTGGCGGGGGTGGGGGTCGGGGAGGCGCAAAAGACCTTATCGGTCGGTTCTTTTGCGTTGTGCATTCATTTCTCCTGTTAACATTAGCAGAAGGTGTATCATAGACTGAATGTTTGTGCCCCATCCCAAATTCATATATAGAATACCAATGTGATGGTATTCAGAGGTGGAGCCTTTAGGAGGTAATTTGATTTAGATGGGGTCATAAGGGTGGGGCTCGCAAGATGATATTAGTGCCCTCGTAAGAGGAAGAGCCCAGAGCTTTGCTCTCTGTCTACTGTGTGAGGACACAGTGAGAAGGCAGCCACCTACAAGCTAAAAAGAGAGGTCTCAACCAGATCCTGGATCTTCTAGAAGGGTGATCTTGGACTTCCCAGCCTCCAGAGCTGTGAGAAACAAATGTGAATTGTGTAAGCTGTCCAGTCCAGGGCATTTTGTTATAGCAGCCTGAACTGCCTAAGACAAACTCTACTTGCTGAATAGAACACTGCTCTCATCTCTGAATATACCACCCTTCTTCTCCATATTCACTGAATATTTCCAGTACGTAATTACAATATTTTACTGTACACTTGACCTTTGACCAACATGGGCTTGAATGGCACTTGTGGGTCTACTCACATGTGGGTTTTTAAAAAAAAAAGGTTTTTTTAACGTTTATTTATTTTTGATAGACACAGAGAGACAGAGCACAAGCAGGGGAGGGGCAGAGAGAGAAGGAGACACAGAGTCCAAAGCAGGCTGCAGGCTTTGAGCCATCAGCACAGAGCCCGACATGGCTCAAACACAAACAGTGAGATCATGACCTGAGCCAAAGTCGGACGCTTAACCGATTGAGCCACCCAGGCGCCCCTAGTGTTAAGGTTTGTTTGTTTGTTTGTTTGTTTTTATAAATACAGTACAGTATTGTAAATGTATTTTCCTTATGATTTTCTTAATAACATTTTCTTTTCTCTACCTTGCTTTATTGTAAGAATACAGAACATAATACATATAACAATATGTATATTTAATACATATATTTAATATTTTAAATATCTGTAATATATTTATATAACATATAAACTATGTTTTAATTGACTGTTTATGTTATTGTTAAAGCTTCCGGTCAGCAGTAGGCTCTTAGGAGTTAAACTTTGGGGGAATCAAAAGTTATACTTTTCAACTGGTCAGCGCCCCTAACCCTTACATTGTTCGGAGGTCAGCTGTATTCTTTTAACTGTTCCAATATCCTTTTTCAATCCCACTAGGGTGGAAACTAGGAGAACAGAGTGGAACAGATTCTCCCTCCCAGCCCCGGGAAGGAGCTAACACGGCCAACACGTGGTCTCAGCCTTCTAACCTCGAGGACTGTGCGAGAATAAATTTCTATTGTTTAAGCTACCCAGCTTTGTGGTGCTTTGTTAATGACAGTCCTGGGGAGTTAGTACTCACCGCTCCACTTAAACTCTAAATTATCTGCAGACAGGGACGCGGGGTCCTTTATCCCCAAATCTCTAGCAGCTGGCGTACCCACTAGATGGTTATAGAAACCTTGAGCTGCCTTCTCAAGCCAAGTTCTCCTCGGACTTTAAGTTGGGGGGATAGGGGTTAAAAAAAAAAGGAAAAATGAGAGGTTGGAATTGGTACATACCAGAATTTTGCCCAAGTTTTTACTATCCCCCCCCCAACCCCAACTCCTAAATCATGATGTCTCCTTCTCCACACGCATAGAGGAAAGACTCCAAGATCCAAGGCCGTTCGTCTTTAAAACCATCTGCTAACAGGGATAAGTAAGAACATAATGTCTTCACCCTGTGTCCTACCCCCTCCCTACCCTGGGGTTTAGCTACCCCACAATTTCCTAGGGAACTCTTGTTTCTTATTATTTAAAGGTTAATTTGAAATTCATTTTGGATGAGAAAAGTAAGAAAACTCTGGAAAGCTGTGCACAGCTAAGTGTTTTACCTTAGGTTAGCTTCTAATTCCAGAATCTTTGAAAACTATCAAACTCAGTGATGGATTCATGTGGTTCCCTGACCAATACAGATATTTGTAACAATAATAATACCAGAGAAAAAGATAGCGCAACCTTGGAATGTTTTCCCTTTACTCAGCTGAAAATTAAACCAGACAGGCAATTACCAAGGTTTTGCTATAATATATAATATGTGTCCACTGCATTTATGGCACATTACATATTACATGGTTATTTTTCTGCATTTTCGTCCAATCATCTTATTAGCTCCGGTATTTTTATGTGGTGAATGACTATAAGCTGAAAGTCAAGTGAGGAAGGCACTGGTGGAGAAATAAAAACACAGACTCAGTAAAGTCAAGCCCGTTAAATGTGACCACCACATACAGCAGACCACAGCTGGGGGTGTTGACAATGAACTCTCGATGACTGGAAAGATATTAGGGTACTACGGAGTGCTTTTGTAATGTTCTCTGCACTTAACTAAAAAAAAAAAAAAATCAAAAGTGAAGTGTACCGTGTTAAAATAGAATTCACAGTTGTCTTTAAATATATTTTTCAGACCCTAGAGAACGCCATTGTATATTCTGACGTATTGTTCAAAGAAAATGAAAACCGCTCTATGAAATTCTAAAAATAAACTTGGACCCATTTTTTACAGCTCATTCAACTGGTTTTCTAAATTATGAGTCATTTGTTGCTTTTGGTGTTTGATGCCATTTGCCTAGAGCTACATCGAATCCTATTTTGGGGATATGAGTGAAGATATGATGAATTACAATAAATCAGGCTGCCGTTCAGATTTTTTTTTTCTAATAGCGTTCTGTCTTTTCTTTCCTATTTCTAAATTCCCTTACCCACCTCTGTCTTTTCTTCTGGAGCTAAAGTTTTGTTTTCTTTTATTTCTTTCTCACTTGCTCCTATATTCCCTCCTTCTCCCTAAAGTTAATGTAAACCATCACCACTGGGAATTCCAGAATTTTCCATCCCAAAGATAGAGTAACGTGGCTTAGTCAAGCAGCTCTGAGGGTAAAATTCAACTTCTTACATCATATTCTAAAAAGTAGGATTTGCTGAAAGGCCTGGGTGGCTCAGTCGGTTGAGTGCCCAACTCTTGATTTTGGCTCAGATCAAGCCCCGAGTCAGGCTCTGTGCTGACAGCTCGGAGCATGCTTGAGATTCTCTCTCTCTCTCTCTCTCTCTCTGTCTTTCTCTCTCTGCTCATGAGTGTGTGCACTCTCCTTCTCCCTCTTTCAAAATAAATAAATAAACATTAAAAAAAGTAGGATTTATAGAGAAAGGTTTTTAATTTTTTTCCACAACATTCAGAGAAAGTGACCATATGAGATGTATTAAAACGGAAGGGCCTGAATACCACTGATTAACACAGTAACTGATGTGTAAGTTGTCGTCAATTTTAATTATATACTTGACCATATATTCTGACTCTGAGAACTAAAAATCACAATGCATATGTTATGAGAAATTATATTTTGGCCCAACAAAGGGTCGTAAATGACAAAGCAATCTGCTGAAATATGTAACTTCTTTTCTATAATCACTAGGTATGGGGAGCTAGCTAAACTCAGGATATAGGACCATTTATTTCTGCTCTGTAGTTTAATGTCTAGGTCACAATGGGACTTCAAAGGTTGAGCTGAATCAAACCGGAGTAAACCCTTGATCAAAATAAAATATGTAACTGCCTGTTGGAATAGACTGCTCCCTTCCACATGCTTCCCTTGAATTTCAGGAATGTTCTTAGGCAAGACTGGGCCACCCCAGAGAAGGATTATGAAAAAGTCGACACAGAGCCTATGGACTGTGAGGGTGAGAGTGGGGAGTTCTAAGGGGTCCTGTCACCTGCAATGTCCGGTCTCCCTTTCAAGCTTTGTATCTTTCATTCCACCGTTTCCCTAATCCCCTACCAATGCAATCAATGTCTCAAGTGAAAACAACAGCAACAACAAAACCCTGGGGCATGTGTTAGCTGATTCCTTATCCTTTGTCCAACATTTTGTAACATTCTGAAGGTACAGATCACATTCCCTGCATCTTGGTGTCCTCGATAGGGGTCAGTGGCCAAGCAGATGCTCAGGAAATGTTTGCTGAATAGGAAAAATAAAGCAAACAATTAAAAGAAATTGCTGGAAGGTCACTCCTCGTTTTACGGTTCTGGAATGTGGCTGACAGTCAGAGACCACTGGCCACGTTCTCAGCAGCCCGAGCCCATGTTTCAAGGTAGCAACAGGACACTTTTGAGAATTCCTTGTGATCTTTAAGTGACTTGATCCAGCACCAAGGCACTTTGTTGTGGTCCTTTGTTTTCTTATCGCTTATTGTAAACGTTGAAGAAATCACTGACTGTGTCACCCTAGCAAATGGAGCTGGTGTATACACTGTATAACGGGGAGTCTAGAAAACCAACTCAGTTCACAGTGGCTGCTATGATCAGAATAGCTAATGTGGTTGACCAGAATGGATCGTGGAAGGTCACTTGTCTTTTGCCAGAAACAGAAATGCATTCTTGGGTATGAAGCAATGTGTGGCTGGAAGCCATCAGCTAGATTTCTCAACCATCTCCTCTATGGTGCAATGCTCTGTGTTGGAATCTCACAGCCTGAATTCTTTGCAGGTGCAGCCAAGACTCTGTACTCCAGATCAGCCAGGAGTTCCGAGCTGTGTTTAGACACCCAGGTAGTTGTGTAAGCAGGAGTGGAATTCAAGCAGGTGGTGTAACATGGGGTCCAAATCCGCACAAAGTCAGAACCGACGCGACCCCATGTCGTGATCCTTCTTGAACATTCTCCCTGTGGGCTATTTGGATACCTGGGATACTTTTATAGAACCCCCTTGTAGACCAGTTGAATGGAAAGAGCGTGGAGTTTAAGAGACAGCCAGATCTGGCTGCAAATTCTGGTTTCTGCATTGACTATGCAATCTTGAGTAAGTTACTTAAACAATTTGAACAGCAGTTTTCTTGCCTGCAAATTAGAAATTAGACCTATTTTGTGAATTGCTGCTTCAAATGAAATGGCATTACGCAAAGAGGCTTGCATTTTGTTTCATGGCACATAACAAACATGAAATAAAAGCCCTTATTCCCCTTTTCTTCCCCCTTCTCTTTCTATTCTCCTTATTCTATTTATTTTTATTTTATCTCTATGACTGGGCTAAGTGTGGAAGGCTACACCCATTCTACATACAACCAGAGGTGATTCAGGATGCTAGGCTTCCTCCTGGCTCTGTGTGTGTGTGTGTGTGTGTGTGTGTGTGTGTGAGAGAGAGAGAGAGAGAGAGAGAGAGAGAGAGAGAGAGCATGTGTAAGGGAAGAGAAAGGGTTTGGGTGGAGAGAAAAGATGACAGACTTTTTAAGGCGTGGATATTATCTCATACAGCAGAGTGCCCGAATTCCTTACCCCTCACCTTCGACCTCCTGCCCCCCACCAGCTAACACTCCTGGAGCACAGAGTTGATGATGTTCTTGGTGGGCTTGCTCTCTCTCTGTAATCTCTTCCATCCCCACGCCCTGGGAGGGTCAGAAGAAAGAGAGGAGCAGTATGTGGCAAATGAACATCTCTGCACCCTCATGGAGACCACTGTCAAGTTCACAGACCTCAGAGGGTTACTGGCTTCTTGTAATTCCTCACTTCACCCCCTCTGGGGAGAGGAGGGCCACTTGGGGGCTGTACCAGGCAGGCCTCCTGAGACCCACCTGGTCCAAGGCCTTTCTCTGGGCCACTTCATCATTCCAAACACTAATCAAGGAACGGTCAAGAGGAACACTGTGGGAATTAATGATATAGAACGTCACAGATAAGAAAAAAGCAGGATCTTGGGCAAACGGCTATAACTAGATCACCAAACTTCAGGTGTGAGCAAGACGTGGGTAAGCCCAAAGCTAGA